CAGGAAGTTGAGCGCATTTTGTAAAAGAAACTTGCCCGAGTGAAAAAAGCACCCTCGGCCGCACTGCCAGTGCCACGGGCGGTCACATACACCATGCTGATCCTTGTTCCCTCCCTCTCTCGCTGTAATCGCGGTCTTGACTATTGTACTGAATTCACCCTTTTCTTTCATTGTTTTACTGCATAGTTTGTGTCTCGGAGTGTGTATCTTACTGAATGTGGGTTATTTGGAGGCTTATATATGCACAGAATCATACTGTTTAACTTGTTATGTCTTCTGTTTTCTCGGCTCACTCCCTAACATTCATATATATTGTAATTATTTCAATATTTATTGATGAACAGTGATTCCCTATAGGAATATACCACCACTTGTTCAGTCCACAGTCAGTGGACTTCTGGGTTGTAGATGCTTTGGGGTTCCTGTAAGCAATTCTGCAATAAATATTTGTGAACATGAATGATGTTTAGCGGGAATGTGTACATATCATTGAGAATATTTACTTAGGTGTGGAATTGCTGGGTATAGAACGTCTCAAATAACGTCTTAACAGCTAGGCGTGGAAAGGCATGCATGTAATTCCAGCTACCAGGAGGCTGAGACAGGGGGATCGCAAATTTGAGGCCAACTTGGGAAATTTAACAAGCTGCTGTCTCAATATAAAAATTAAAAGTTTGTTGTTTTAGCTCAGCTGTAGTGTGCCCCTGGGCTCAAAAAACTGTCAGTGAATCTCAAGTAAGCACAAAAGTAAAGAGTATAATACTTCACCAGGTTTAATAATTGTATATATACATATATATGTCTATCTTTTATACTTATCTTTGCCTTCTTCCACTCTGCAATGTTTTAGGGCAAATTTCAGGTATCATATCATAAATTACTTCAGTCTAACAAATAAGGATGTGTTAAAAATCACCACAATACCACTGTAACACCAAAACAAACACAATACCACAATACCTCTAAAAACGCCCCCAACAATAGCCATAACGCCTCTCCAAAACCCAAATGAAACTGTAATTCCTTAATTACAATGGCATTTTTTTAACCAATGTAATCAGCCTTCAAGATAGACATAAACCAAGAAGATTGTTCTGGAGCTGGAGCAAAGGGCTTCGTAGCCCTTGCAATAGATAATATCACGTAAATCAAGTAAATTATATAGCTCATTACTTTTTGGCAGTATAGGGGATTGAACCCAAGAACTTGCACTGAACTACATCCCCTGCCTTTTTTATTTTTTATTTTGATGCAAGGTCTTACTAAGTTGACCGGATTGGTCCAAAACTTGAGATCTTCCTGCCTCAGCCTCCTGAGTAGCTGGAATTACAGGCATGCACTACTGCACCTGGCTGCCTGTTTTTTTAATTTACTTTATAGACAAATGCACATACACGTAAAGAAACATATGTGGAGGAAAATTATTTTCAGAAGATGAATCAGATCAAGGAGGTTCAATATCAGATCAATAGTATCCAAAACATACAAAGAAATTGTAAAACTTAATAATACAAACACAATTCATTTTAAGAATAAGACCTTAACAAGCTCAACAAAGAAAATATACAGATTGCAAATAACTGTATGAAAAGATGCACCACATCATACATGACTGGGAAAAAGTGAATTGAAACCATGAGGTGAGCTGGGCATGATGGTGCAAGACTGTATTTCCAGCACTCTGGGAGGCTGAGGCAAGAGGATCACAACTCTGAGCCAAGACTGAACAACTCACTGACTAGCAAATCCTCCACCAAAAGCAAAAATTTCAAAAATGGTTGGGGTGTATAGAGCTTGAAGGCTGTAGGTTCAATAAAAATATCAGGGAAAACAGAAGATAATAAAAAAAGAACAAAAGAAAGAAACAAAGAAAGACAAGAGAAAAGAAGGAGAGAAGGTGGGAAAGGAGAAAGGAAAGGAAAAGGAAGAAAGATAAAACAAAACAGTAAGATAGACTCTGCACTTATATAAATGGCCACAACCTAGCATGCTAGCAACATAAATACTACCAAGCATGTGGAACATCTCATTACCATGTGTGAGAATACAGAATAGTTCAATACCATCAGATGGCACTTTGGTGGTTTCTGACAATGCTAAACACACTTAACTTACAACTCAGTGAACATGTTTCTTGGTACCTACCCAAAGAATTTTGTCCCCACAAAAAACATACACATGGATGTTTGCAGCAGTTGTGTTCACAGTTGCCAAATCTTGGAACCAATGAAGATACTGGATAACAGATAAACTGTGGTGCACCCCGACAATGGAATATTGGCAGTAAAAAGAAACTAGCTATCGAGCCACGGAGGAAATGTACGTGCATACCGCTAAGTGGAAGAAGTCAGTGTTAAAGGTTTACATACTCAAGGGCAAGACATTCTGGACAAAGCAAAACTATGGACCCAGTAAAACACCAGTGTTTACCAGAGACTAGAGAGGAGGGAGGGCTGACTGCCAGAGCCCAGAGGATTTGGGGGGCATGGAGATGACTCTTCAGGAAATTATAGTATAGCTGAGTACACGTCACTGCACATCATTCCACTGCGTGGGACCTGCAACACCAAGACAGAGCCCCAGGGTGAACGACAGGCTTGGAGTAACAATGGTGGGTCTACGAAGGCTTGACATTTGCAAAGGCTGTATCAGTTAGCGGGTGCGGGGAGTGGATATTAGAAGAGGCTGTGAATGTGTGTAATCTTTATACCTTACGCCAAATTAGCTGTGAATCTAGAACTATAACTACTAAAGTTTAGAGCAGGTGTGCAGTGGGGGGGGATCACCTGAAATCCAGCACTCTTGGAGACAGAAGCAGGAGAGTCACAAGTGTGAGCCTCGTCATAACAATTTAGCAACAGAACGAGGCACTGTATCCAAAGGGAAGGGGGTTAGCCGGAGGTGTAGCTCAGTAAGAAAGCCCTGGATTCAAGCCCAGTACTAAATGAATAAATAAATACATATCAGGGAAAAAGGCGAGAACCCAGCAGGCTTGTATATGCTGATGTGATGCAATCCTTGCATCTTGAATTGCTTAGGATTTATTCACATCTAGAGGGAAGAATCGGTGGAAAACATGGTACTGTAGATGGATGAATTGCCACCCACATTTTTTATTTGCGTTACTAGGGAACTGAACCTAGGCTTGTCCCACTGAACTACACCCCTATCCCATTTTTTATACTTTACTCTGAAACAAGAGCTCATAATGTTGCCAAAGCTAAGCTTGAAACTACCGTTCTCCTGGCTAACCTTGGAGAGTGCTGGGGCCGGCAAGGAACCACTTTTATTAGTGCGAACAAGGGATGAACACTGGGTAGCAGGGACAATCTCCGCCAAAGATCAGTCTTTGGCTACTCAACAACCCTCGGAGCTCTTCTCCGAAAACAAGAGGAGTAATTCCATCCTGCCCAAGAGGGACCCCCCAAAGTTTTATTTTGGATCCTCAGACACAGTCAAATCTGGATGTGCGTCTTGGTGGTAAGCGTCCCACAGACACAAAAGGTTCCTCAGCTTCCACAGACAGCTAGGCTACAATGGGGCAAAGTGGGGAGGATGAGGTCATCCACAGGGGAAACTCCTAATGAGGAAAAGAAAAATGGGAAGAAAAGAAAAACAGCAGGTGCTGCTGAATTGCAGTGAAGCAAAGCCAGGGGTGGGAGCAGGAAGAGTAGGAATTCCTGGGCCTGCAGGTGGGCGATATTTCTTAATTAGGCAACTTAGAAGCAAGGTTCTCTGACTTAGGGACCGTGCGCTGTCCTTCGTGGCTCCTGGCTTGGCCCTCCTGCACTTTTCCTTTGTTTCATATTTTGTACGGCCATGCCTTCGTTGGGCCATAAAGAGCGCATGTTTCTTGGAACAATGAAAGCATGACTATGTAGGAGTCAAGAATATAAGTGAAAGGAGAAAACTGTTCTGCGCTGGAAGTGCGAAGAAGTTCAGGGCCAGTGTGAAGGAAGGGAGGAGACAGCTAACAAACAAAGCAGGGCTGTGAGGAAGGGCTCCTGATGACAGGGCTGTCTCACACTCCTGTAGAGTGGTTTGCTTTGCCAATTCCTCAGGAAAGTGTATGACACAGTGAGGGTCCATTTATGAGTAGCTATTTGCAGAAAGAAAAAGAAATGGGCAGAGTACTGTTAAGGGCGGACTCATATAAAAACAACCATCAGAAAACAGTTAGCCAGAGTCTTTTATTTGAAGCAGAAACTCAAAACCAGAGGTGTTCATGAAAGGGGATGCTTCATGGAAATTTATAAATACTGAGCACAGGACAGGAGCTTACTAAAAATGCCCTCATCCATGTTGCAAGGGTTGGAGATTGGTTTAATTAGAGATGATGCTGATACCTAAATTAGACAGTTGTTTGTTGATTCCTTCATTCAATAAACATTTGCCGGGCTGGGGATTTAGCTCAGCGGCAAAGCGCCTGCCTGGCAAGCGTAATGTCGTGAGTTTGGTTCCCGGTACCGGAGGAAAAAAAAAAAAAAAAACATTTGCCGATTCATTAACTCAATACACACAGCAGTCACTATTTCACAAGCAGGTGATGAGTATCTGTCAGTGGATGATACTGAGCAAAATCTCTCCCTACAAAGAACTTACATTCTCATCATTTGAAAGAAATCACATCAAGCTCTGTACATGATCATGCTTTTTCATACAATATATTTGACAGTTTTGATGAGATTACTAAACTCCTTGAAAATTATAGTTTACCAAAACTGAGAGGGGATAAAATGAAAACCTAATACCCCATTAAAGAACTTGAACCTATTATTAGAGGTCTTCTCAGAAAAAAAAGCAAAACAGGATACTGCTGGCTTCACTAGCGAATTTTTCTAAACATTTAAGAAAGATACAGGGGACTGGGGATTTAGCTCAGAGGCACAGTGCCTGCCTGGCAAGCGCGAGGTTGTGAGTTCGATTACTGGTACTGGAAAAAAAAAACAAAAAATAAACAAACAAACAAACAAAACAAAGAAAGATACAATACCAGAAGATAGATTTGGGGAGTTCCCATTCCTTTTAGAAGACTATTATCAATTTAGTGTTAAACAAAGACATTAGAGGAAAATAAAACAAGAGAATCCTATCTGAATAATCAATCACAGTCATTCCAAGCAAATCAAGCGAGATAAATTGTAGGTGTTGAGTCATATGACTCAAGGTGAGCTATAGCTGGAACTGGATCAGAGTAGGACTGGGAACGAACCTGAGCTGCTCCTCACATTGCTATTAACTCCCCGCCTGCAGGAGGAGCAGCAGAACTGGGGGCTGTGTCACTAGTTGGGGCTGGGTCCTCACTCAGGGCCCTCTCCAGACTGGCGGGCAGGGAGTGGATCAGTCTCTCCCGGAAGTCCCGCCCCACAAAGACGTAGAGCATCGGGTTGAGGCAGCTGTTGAAGAAGGCCAGGGAGCTCAGCGGGTTGACCAGGATGTTAAGGATTTTGTACTTATGCTCTAACAACATCTCTTTGAGCCAGACAGTACTTAAAAGGGCAACCAGTTGGAAGGGGAACCAACAGATGAAGAAGGAAGCCACCACCGCAGTGAGGACCCGAAAGGGGCGGCTGGAATTCATCATGCCTTTTCTGTGAATCTTGGCCCCGATGAGCCCATAGCAGATGGCGACCATGGACATGGGCATGCTGAAACCAATAATGAAACGGATGATCCCTCTAGCTGTCAACATGGCCATGGCCACCTTCAGCCTCTCCTCGATAGTGTCTCCCCAGGATGCAAAGGAGAAGGTGCAGTACACATTTCCATTTGGATCACTCACTGTGGTCAAGAAGATGAAAACTGGCAAGGTAAGGACTAGGGCAAGGATCCAGGGTCCGAGGATCACTTTCCTGGCCAGACTCACGGTGCGGTGGTTCTGGGCCCACACTGGATGCAGGACACAAATACAGCGGTCCAGGGCGATGAGAGCAATCAGGAAGACACTTCCAAACAGGTTTATGTCCACAATGATGTGAATCAACTTGCAGAGGAACCAGCCAAATGGCCACTTTTCTCCCATGGCCATGGAGACAATAAGGAAAGGTAGGGTGGCAGTGAAGGAGAAGTCGGCTAAGGCCAGGTTCAGGTAGCAGATGGTGGTGACTGTGTGTTTCATGCGGAATCCAGCCACCCAGATCACCAGTCCGTTGCCCAGCACACCGAGGACAAAGGTGATTGCTAGTACCACCAATGGGATTATCCGCAGGACACCATAGCCTGACGATTCATAAGTCATGTCTTCAGTTCCATTTAGAGGGATGGAGAAGTTGCCTTCCATCCTGCCCACACCTGAAACGTTTCAGCAAAGGTCATCTGTCATTCGGATATTATATCACTTGCCACTATAGCTCCAACTTTAAACAGGGAATCAAATCTACCAAGCTTGGTAGCCAATAATACCATAAAATTGTAATAGATGGTCACTGGGGAGGGAGAGTTCTCTGTGTTCTCATGATGATGAGTGTGCCTGTATGCAGCAATATGTCACATCCTCCCTATTCTGTGCAAGAGGAGCTCTGCAAAGGGGTCCCCATCCCTACTTGCAACACAGTGCCTTTCATTGTCCCTGATTGAAGTCATCTTTGGGAGGCAGGGAATTTGTGCAGCTTCAGTGTTCTGTGACACAGAGTATGAGCGTGATATGTTTTGAAAATACTTGTGAAGTCTCATTAGAGACCAAGGACTCTGTTGATTGCTCTACACAAGCACCAATCTGATCTACAAAATTGCTCAATAGTGTTTGTTACTTCTAGTTTCCCTAGGAATAAATGGGTGTTCAGAATGACTGTGAAGCCTGCTGAAGGTCACTTGAATAGTAAATAGTATAAAAAGTGTTTCAGTCCAGCCAGATGTGGAAACAGCAATTAGTGAAGAATCTTTACATGAAATCGTCATCATAACATAATAGGATACTATCAACTCTCTCTTACCAGGCAGAACCCATAACCTAAGGGTTTCATTGCCTTTATCAACATATGTTCAGCCTATTCATCGGGGCAGCAGGTTGTGAAAACCAGGTTTAATCATTTCTAGAGCTATCACCCTTGCTATGCAGAAGTGCTGCCTTTGAAAGCGCTTCCCCCAGGATTGCCTGGTATAATATAGGTAGGATTCCCCTGCTCTCCCTCTATTCCATATTCCTGTATGATGATTTTCCTTCTCTTTACCTTCTTACCCTATTCTTTACCCATTTTCTCTGTCCTTTTCACGGAGGTCTTCTATGGGACATTGTGCAATAACTTGTTGGATTTCTCCAACTTAGCGCTGTTGACATTGGACCTCGGATATTTCTTTGTTGGGAGAGACTGTCCACACATTGTAATAGGAGCATCTTTGGCCTCTGTCCACTATATGCCAGTAGCAACTCTTCCAGTAGTGACAACCAAAAGTATCCCCTGAGAGGCAAAATCACCCCTAATGCTGTAGTTAAAGACCACCGGGGTCTAGAGCTGCATAAATCTGTATTCTAATCCCTTTTCTGACACCTGCCCAATGTGAGTTCTTAGACAAGGTCAACCTTTGAGCTTCGGTTCCCTCCTCCACAGGCTGAGAAGGGTTTACGGTGAACACTGGCTTCCATGTGAAGATTAGAGAACAGATGTGAAAGTTTGGGATGAACTATGTGAGTCTCTAATAAACAGGAGCCCATTGCCTTCCCCAGGCTGTGTGCTGAGTCCTGGGGCTTGGTCTGGGGCTGGGCATTATGGGATTTCAAGGTCAGTGGAGAACAATGCTCCTCACAGTGGAGTCTGCTCTTTGTGAACGTATCCACCCCGGAACAGCTGGCTTTTTCCTACACAGCTCATCACAGCAGCCGGTGCAGATTGCATGTGTTGATATATGGGCAGCACTGCAGGTACCAGAGCTATGGTAGATATCAAATACTGTTAATCATAGTAAGTATGACCCCTGTATAAATGAGGAAGTGAAGGCTTAGACTGGTTCCATTAACTGTTCAAACCTCCCAGTTAGAGAGCAGCATAGGCAGAATTTGACCTTGGTCAACTGATTCATGCGGAAATGCACTCTTCACCCTCTCCCACCCCATATTCCTCAACACACTGAGGATCTTTTTTCCTACCCTACACACATCCTACGATATACATCATCTTAGAAGATGATGTACTCAATATTCTCTAAATCGATGACTTGAAAGTATTAATACAACAAGGGGCACACTGAGAGGTGCGCCCAGGTTAACAAAACAAAGTTGCAAAGTGGTTGGTCACCGTAGGTGCAAGGTAGGGAAGAGAGCTGTGAGTCACGTAACCTGTGCTGGCCACAGTGGTCCCTATGTGGTCCAGCTCTAACGTGTGTAAGCGATGTAGTTTCAACATCCTCTGTTTGGGGCAAAAGTCACCATCGTGTGATATAAGAGGAAACCGCAGCTCAGAGTGGGGAAGTGCATTGCCCAATGTTACCTTCGTGAAAGCGATCATAGGCTCCAACTGTATAGCCATAGATTCCAGTGGAAACTCAGCACTCCTTGTGAATTCACTACAGTTCCAGCATATTCAAATTCCTATCTTTAAAATTCCTTTTCACGCTTCTTTTGGTGCAAATCACCTACCTCATCCACTACCCTAACACTCAGCTTATGTACCTGGCTGATATAGCACAGAGAAAATTTTAAAATCAGACAGCAACTTTTAAGCCTTCTCTTTCCAAACCCTCCGATCTACCTGCACCAGTTTTTGTGACTAAAGGGTTCTTGTCCTTTCAAAGACTCACTTTCCTCATTCGCTCTGGATCCTTCTCACTCACCTTCCCCAAAACTTGACACCTGTACTTTTTCTTCTCTTTCTCCACACCCTAAACCCCCCAGGTTTAATTTCTACCAGGTCATCTCAACTGTTGTATAAAGTCCTAGTCCTGGTATCTCTCCCTCTAATTTTTTATTTTAAAGATAATATGATAAAATAAAAATGACACTCCCTTTAAAAATATACGACCCTTGTCACATGTTGCTTTCTAATTCTCTCAAAAGACTCTTCCTGAATTCTAAAGTCTGAGTCCAGTCAGACTTTAGCAGAGGGATTCTCTAACTGTCCTCCCCACTTCTTCGCCTACATTTTCTCCTGGTCTCGCTCCAGGTGACCTGGGTCATCCACACTTCACCGAACGTGGTCTCCTGGAAGATGCTTAATCACTCCATGTTGTCAAATCCACCGGTCGCATATCCATTCCTATCCTGACTCCTAGTGACATAGGATCCGTCAGAGCTCTTCCTTCCCGAGACTCCTTTTGCTTTTCCTTTGAGGTGGTAAAATGCACACACAGCACGACCTTCACAGTCCGTACAGCTCAATTTTCCAACTTCTTTAACAAGATCATTTACATCCCGCTTTTTGTACTCTGACTATAACAAGGGCATTTTGCTCTCAGGACATTCGAGAGTTCCGTAGCGGTCCTCAGCAGATGAGTATCGTACAGCTCTCCTTGAGAGTTCAGGAAGTCTCTGTCATATAATAAGCATTCAAACAGTAATTTTTAAATATTCAGACTGCAACTTACCACCAACTACGACCCGTTTCCTGTTGCAGGCGCCCGGCTTCCTGTGCAGTCAGTCAGGCCGTTGGCCTTCAGCAGAGACTTTATTGAGGATGGGCAGAGGGAGGGACAATGAAGCCTGAGCCAATCAGGTAAGAGAAACTGGCCGGTCCTTACAGTTTTCAGAAGCTACTACCGGTGTGATAGCAGTAGACTCTTAGAAAGGTGCAGGTCTGGATGGTCCCCAGCTCCAACCTTCTGCGGGAGACAGAGGGCCCATCCTGTGAATTTTAGGGTCCAGGAAACAGGTGTCAGGCTCTTTCTTGATTAGAAAGTGCAGAAAATGGAAGAAACAGTTACTGAGGAGAGAATAATTAGGGGTATGCAGGAAAAGAGAAGTGCTGGTTAATCAAAACCTCACTTCTGTACTTAAACAATACTTCCAACGCTGAATGTGTGAGGTTTTTTCCACAGCAAGCAATTCTCCATTTCTCCATGGGCATTCGCTGGGTGTCCTACACCCCTGCTCTGTCTCAGAGCCACCCAGGCGGAACGCGAGAGGCACAGATACTACTTGGAGGAGAAGATGCAAAGCTGCACCAACAGATTGGGTAGATCGGAGGTCGCCATGGAGATGGGAGCGCGCCAGGAGAAGCACAGTAGATTGGCCCACTGGGGCTGCTATAGCACAGCACCTCAGAGGAGTGGATTAAATGATAGAGGGTGATGTTCTCGCAGTTCTGGAGGCCGGAGTCTGAGATCCAGAGTGGGCAGGACTGGTTCTCCTGCGGCCTCTCCGCATGGCCAGCAGATGGCGTCTCGGCCCTCTGTCCTCAGGAGGTCCTGGCTCCGTGCGTGTCTGCGTCCCAATCTCCCTTCCTGTTAGGGACACCAGTCATACTGAGTCAGGGCCCAGCCTGAGGACCTCACTTCAACTTGGTTACATCTTTAAATGCCTTATTTCTGAGGGTCACTGTTGGGAGCCACTGGAGCTGGTTATTGGTCAAGCAGTCAAGCTACCTCAGTACTGAAAAAGGCATCCTGCCGGACAATTAGTCGTTAGTTGCTAGGCAACATCACCCCTCCTGATACTAACTTCGCAAGTGTATAAAATAAACGCCCCTACTGTTTTTTTGTTTGTTTGTCTCCAGTACCGGGAATTGAACTCACAACCTTGCGCTTGCCAGGTAGGCACTGTGCCGCTGAGCTAAATCCCCAGCCCCTGCCCCTACTGTTGAAGAGAGTCCTCTTGCTCATCAGGCAAGAGGTAACTCCACCAGACCCCAGCTATGGTCTCTTGTCTTTTTTTCTATATCCTCTCACCATTTTCTCCCAGGGACCACGGAGAGGCCACCAACTCCAGCAGGTCACATTCTAAGGGGTCAAGTGCTGGAAGGGACACAATTTATGCCATAACACAGAGTTATGGGAGCTCAAGTCTCGGCTGGAGAGAGGGATTTCGGGACTGTTGACTGATGTGCCAGGGAAATATTGAGCATGGAGAAATGCATGCAAGCAGAATGTAAGATAGGAGCTAGAGCATTTTCTAATTACTGGGATATAGGCAATATTTATGCACAAGAATTCATTCTAAGTGCAATGTATCCATTACTTTATATGTTCAGAGAGTGAGAGAGAGAGAGAAAGAGAGAGAGAATGCTCTGTATATATTAATCCTCTCAATTCATAGTAAAATGACTGGGAATCAGCAGTTAAAGTCAAGGGCTTCTGTCTGGTTTTGTACGGGACGTACAAAAGAGATACAAATAGGTTTACGTTCTTTTCTGACTCAAGATTTTGGCAACATATCAAAATGATGTGAAATCCGACAGCCAGGCCCTTAAGCGAGGATCTGTGGGCACCGGCCAAGCTGACCGGGTGGGTATCCCACGCTGCAGAGCAGAGCTTAGGGGTGCACTGCAGGCCCTGCGCTGTAGAGTGGGAGGTGTTTGCTCTCCTTCCCTGGGCTGGTGACACTGACTCTGGTCATCCGGCTGTCCAGTTGCATGTCGGGTGCAACGCAGACCTGGATTCCAACCCAGCCTTCACCACCTCATGCCCCCACCTAGAGACTTCGCTGTCTCCAGAGGTCATCAGAGAAGCTCAGCTGCTAACGGGGCTGGGGATTCGTGCAGCGCTGGCTGGGATTTTCCACACCCAGCTCAGCCCGGATGCCACTTCCCTTGGGCGTTCCCCTATTGGGCAACGGGGCCACGCACATGCGCAAGTCCACCCTGAGACTTTCCTTTCTTTCTGCACCTGCTTGCCTTGCGCCACAGAGCCTCACTCAGCGTGTTTTTACTGATCCTGGTGAGACATTTGGGAGCAAGAAACAAAACCTGCTTATGCTTTAATAAAGAAAGGAGCCGACGGCAGATATGGGAGGGCATCCCCCACGCACAGCCACGGGAAGACCAGTCCGACTTCGGAAGCCTTGAAAATGTGTCCAGCAGCATTCTCTGTGCCGTCCCTTGTCCCTTGTTTTCTTTTGGGACCCGGCCCCTTTTCTGAGCATAACTGTGTCCTACAACAATCCCTTTACTTTAATTCCCCACCCCAGGATTTTGCCTTTCTTGTGACTCTTGGACTCTCTCACTACCCTTGCTCCCTAGGAAACTTCTAAAATGCATCTATTGTGAACGGCCACAAAGAAATTTTTCCAACACGTAAATCTGAATGTATATCACTTCTGATTCCCTTATTTTCCTAACTTGGGATGCTGTGAGTGAAGTCAGGAGATACGGCAGCTATCTTGTAGCCATGAGGTATCAATCATGAGAAATCCACAATACTGGATTATAAAGTGTGAGGGTTAAAGTAAGTACCTCTGTCTTGGAGTCTTTCTTTCCATATTCTTCCACAATATTTTAGAACCTTAGATGATCATGAAAATTTCCTAAAGACTGAAACTTTGCTGGGCTAGAAACCTGTAATGAGCTTGCACGGGGG